AAAAAAAAAAAAAAAAAAAAATTTTTCTTTTCCCCAAAATATCGATTGTTGCAAAAAAAATCGTCTCAAATCGAATTTTTTTTTTTTTTTTTTTTTTTTTTGTTAAATATTCGAATGTTCTTTGTTTCCCATTTTTATCGAAATAATTTGTTGAAATGAAATTTTTTTTATACACCTAACGTAAGTTTATGCCTTTCGTTTTCTTTTTTTTTATTCGTTCTTTCGTATACACGTGTAACATTATTTACCAATTTGTTCAAATTAAAATCGACGAGAGACAATTTGCATCTCTATTATAATAATTGAAAAAAATGAACATTTATTTTTCAATGTAAATGAATTAAATGAAATTTTTGAAAAAAAAATTATCTAAATCGAAAAAAATACATTAGTAATACAGATAGGGATGATGATAATGATAATGTCCCGATGGTGGTGGTGGTGGTGGTTGTGTTATCATAGTCGATGTTGATGATGTTGGCGGTTGAGAATTCGAATAATGATGATTCGGATGATGATGATGATGAGTGAAATAATTACAATCTGTATTCTGGACAGCAGCCGCAGCAGAATAAGGGGTTTGAATTGTCGATAGAGTATTTCCATGTAAAGAATTTTGATTTAAATCATTTCCATATGAATAATTCCAGCTACTATTATAGATTGTTGGAACATTCGAAACATTATTATTATAAACATTCGAATATAATGATGATGAAGAGGAATTTGATGAAACTGCTGGTGGCGGTGGACTCAAAGATGTCGAACTGATAGATGGTGGTGGCTGTGCGACAAATGATGAAATTGTTGATGTTGCTGATGGTGAAAATTGTTCATGAATAGCACCAAACTTATGGAATATTGTTCCCAAAAAATTATTCGAATATGATGATTCACTTCCTGATGCTGTTGACGATGATGGTAAATATGATGGTTGACTGATTGTTGTCGTGGTTTCAGGTTTTTTCGCTAAATCGAATGTTTGATTTTTTGATAATGATGAATTCGAATGTTGATGTATCGTTGGTGGAGATGTAGATGTAGATGATGATTTTGAATCATTATTTGAATAGGAAAAATCGGTTGTTGATGAATTCATTATACATTTTTGTTGTTGTTGTTGTTGTTGTTTTTCATCATTCACCATGAATTCATTTATCGAATTTGTTGATTTTGAATTAATATTACGAAATTTTTCTTCACGACGCCATTTAGCACGACGATTTGAAAACCAAACTTGTATTCGAGATTCAGGTAAATTAATTTTGGTTGCTAATTTTTCTCTTGCAAATATATCCGGATAATGTGTACGTTCAAATTCTTTTTCCAATGAATGTAATTGATATTCACTGAATGCTGTACGATTACGATGTAGTTTTTGTGTTATTTGTGTCGGTGTTGTCATCGGTGGAAATAGTCGTTGATTCGAATGATTATTATCATCATTGTTGGTGGACATATTTTTCAAACTCAACAAATTTGAATGATAATTTTGTTGTTGTTGTTGTTGAGAATCATTTTGAAATTTATTATTTAAAATTTTTGATTTATTTTTACTTGAAGATTTTGATTTCATCGTTTACGTTGTTGTTGTTGATGATGATGCTTACAAAAACATTTAAACAAAACGAAAAAAAATGGTCAATTTTCACCAAAGCCAAATTGTTTTTGCCTACTTCGACCAATGATAATTTTCAAACGACAAATGTGTGTTCATCTGTGTTTATCTAATAAACACGGTAGGATCGGTCGGTTTTTGATCAAAGTAAGTTTTGATGATGATGATGATTAGAATCTGAAAATATCAGGTTTTTTAATTTTTGATTATGGATCACCAACCAGCAAAAAAAACAAACAAACAAGATTCGTTATAGATGGATGTGTCAACGACGAATTTAACTAACTACCACGACCATCAAAAAACATGTTGAATGGTGGCCAAAAGAACAAACAAAATTCACCGAATGACCAAAATTCATAAACAGATTTGTCGGCAAAAAAGTTTTGATCAAAAAAAAAATATGATTTTTTTTGGTTATGATTTTTTTTTTGACAATCTTGTTTATCATCATTATCGTTGAATTGTCAGTCGACAAACTTTTTCAAATGAATTGAAAGAAAACAAAAGAAAAGATTTCGCACACCGAAAGAAAAATGATGATGGACGACTAAAATATTCATTTTAATAAACTGACCAATCCACCAAATCAATATCCATCCTTCATTTTAACTAATATTTTTCTTATTTAGCTCCACCATTGGGATGTTCTCACTCTTAGTGTCTGTGTGTTTTGTTCTTCGTTTGAAATTACAACAACAACATTTAATGATGATCATCTTGAAGAAGGAAAAAAAACTTGATTCTTCTTTTACCTTTTTTTGAATGAATGTTTCCTTCTTTTCTCTTCATATAATCCTTGCCTTTTTTTTTGTTGTTGTTGTTTGAATCAAATTATCAAACACTATAAAGGGAAAAAAGATTTTTTTTGTTTTGGTTTGTTTTGTGAAAATTCATTTTTTTTCTTTCTTTTTGATTTTTTTGTTTTTTAAAATTTCTAATTTTCCAATTTGAAATAGGTTAATCCGATTGATTTTTTATTGATTTTTATCGATTGATAATGGAATGGAAATGAACAAGAATTTTCAACGCGATTAATGTCAATGTTGACAACAAACAAACGAACGAATGACGAAAAAACCATTGAATGAGACCCAAGTGGGTCCCACATCACCATCACAAAAGTTTGACAAACCTTAGGTGCTTCAAAGTCCAGCTAAAAAGATTTTTATCTATATTTTTTCATCGAAAAAAATACCAAGAATCAAAATCCTTGATGTTCCTTATGTTCCACTTATACAATTAAAACAAAAGCAAAAAAAAAAATCAACCAGCCAAACGTTGTATGATGGAATAACCTAATGTCTAATATGATTATGGTCAAAAAACGATGATAATGATTATGATAGTGGTGGCGGTGATGACATGTTACTGAATGCTGTTGATAACGGACACAAATATTCATCCAAAAAAACAAACAAAAAACAAATTGTGTTTTTGTTTGTTTCATCATTGACAATTTGAAGAATTTAAAATGACATGTATAAACTGATAATGATTATCATTTTGGCGATCAAATCATTCACCCAAGAAAAAATCTTTGAAAAATTCACCCAAACATTGTATTCACATTTTGGATTTTGTTTTTGTTTTTTCTAATTCATTTTGATTAGGCGAATTTTTCATCTTTTTAAATAGGGAAAAATGAACAATAATTTCTGGCCAAAAATACCGACAATCGTCTGTGTTTGTTTGTTTGTTTGTTTGTTTGATAATGATTAGCCGTTGATGAATCCGTAGGTAATGTGTTACGACATTTAATGAAGAAAAATTCAACTTTTTTTGATTTATGTCGATTCAAATTAAGCATTTTGATTCTCATGGATTTTGGGTAAAGAGAGAGAGAGAGAGAGAGAGAGAGAGAAAACAAGCAAACAAACAAACTTAATTCTTGGTCTAAATTCAGTCTATGGTTCTATAATTTATTCCGGGGAATTAGATATTTTTTTTTTTGAAAAGACAGAAATTTTCCAAGAAAATACACTGATCGACACAGAGAGAAGAAAAACAATAATTTTTTCTTTTCTTTTCACTCAATAATAATCGATTTGTTGAAATATTTAACCTGATTGCCCTGATGATCAATTGTCATCACTTTGCTTTTTGTTACCAAGAAACCAAAAAATGGTAATCATTTATTGATGATGATGATGATGATTATCATAATCTGACAATCGATATATCGCATCAGATTTCTCTTGAGCAATGTTCTTCAATAGGATTTTTTTCCTTCACCATTCTTCAGCAATCATTCATGATGATGATGACTAAATCAAACTGTTGTTTATCGATATCAAATTTTTTCTTTTTCAAAGATAGATTACCATCAATGTGATTATACATCTATCATCCATCATCATCATCCGAATCGAATGATCAATCGAATGACGGTGGTAGAAAAACGAACGAACAACATTTTGACATTGATCAAAAAGCCAAAGAAGAAACAAAATATTTTGAAATTTTGTTTTTGTTTTTAAATGATATTTTAATAACTCAATTAAAATTTTTTTTCTTTTTTTCTCCTAAATAGACATTTTTTGTTGGTATTTTGAATCCCAATCGATCAACCGATCAATCGATGAAAGTTTTTGGTTTATTTTTCCAGCGAAAAAATCAGAAATGTACCATTTTCTATTTGATCCATTTCAACAACAGCAATTGGTTTATGGTTGATGAACAATTGAAAATGAACTTCGAAAAGAAATTTTCCTATTTATCAAATTTCATATGACATCATCATTTGAAGTACGCATAACCTATCTATCTTTAATTATCATCAACGAAAGACACACGCGGTTTTCAAAAAAAAAAAAAAAAAAAATTGGGGAATTTTCTATATCGTTTAAGCAATGGGTAATGGAAAATTATAACGGAAAAAAAAAGCTNNCAGGAAAGGTAATTTGTTGAAATATTTAACCTGATTGCCCTGATGATCAATTGTCATCACTTTGTTTTTTATACCAAGAAACCAAAAAAATGGTAATCATTTATTGATGATGATGATGATTATCATAATCTGACAATCGATATATCGAATCAGATTTCTCTTGAGCAATGTTCTTCAATAGGATTTTTTTTTCTTCGTCCACCATTTAGCAATCATTCATGATGATGATGATGACTAAATCAAACTGTTGTTTAATCGATATCAAATTTTTTCTTTTTCAAAGATAGATTACCATCAATGTGATTATTCATAATCACATTCATCCATCATCATCATCATCATCCTAATCGAATGACGGTGGTAGAAAAAACGAACGAACAACATTTTGACATTGATCAAAAAGCCAAAGAAGAAGAAACAAAATATTTTGAAATTTGGTTTTTGTTTTTAAATGATATTTTAATAACTCAATTAAAATTGTTTTTTCTTTCTTTCTCCTAAATAGACATTTTTTGTTGGTATTTTAAATCCCAATCGATCAATAATCAATCGATCAATCGAATGAAAGTTTTGTTTTTTTCCAACGAAAAAAAAATCAGAAAAATGTACCATTTTTCTATTTGATCCATGTCAACAACAACAATTGTTTTTTGGTTGATGAACAATTGAAAATGCAAAAATTTTTCCTATTTATCAAATTTCAAATGACATCATCATCATTTGAAGTACGCATAACCTATCTATCTGTATTTATCATTATCATCAACGAAAGACACACGCGGTTTTCAAAAAAAAAAAACATTGGTGAATTTTCACTATCGTTTAAGCAATGTGTAATGGAAAATTATAACGGAAAAACATAGCTACACAGCCAGGATTTGTCTTCGAAAAAAAAGCTATATAGCTAATTCAAAATAACGAATAAAAACAACGTTATGTTTTGTTTGTTTGTTTGATGTTCCATTGAACAAAAAAAAAGACAAACATGCTGACTCTATATACCTCGACATTTATATGAAATGAAATGAATGAATGGATATTTTATTAACGTAATAAATAAAAAACGAAACAAGAACATGATTGCAATGGCCGATCATACCACTGCCAATCTAATCATCAACAACACCATTTTCAAGCATGTCTAGTCTGGTCTAGTCTGGTTGGTTGACGATGAGTTACATTTTTACTAAAATAAATAAAGATACCATTGAGATCATGATGTTGATCATGATCACGGTGATCAACAACAACAACAACAACAACGGCAACAAGAAAAAACGCGTGCACAAACAAACAAAAGAATAATCAGTATATAAAGAAAAAGAGGAAATGATCATCATTTAATAATTGTTGCTTATTCATTCAATTCTTTCATTTCGTGTTGAAAAAATTATGGATTTTTAAATGATGATATTGATAAACAACAACAACAACAACGATAATGATCATCGATTGAATTCGTTGTAAAGAAACAAACAAAACAACGTAGTGTTTTTAGTTAATCTCTTAGACGATAAACCAAATCAGCAATCAAATAATTCAATGATTTTTTCCATGTGATTTTTTCTTACTTTCCTCGTTGTTGGAAACAAAAAAAAAACGGCATACCACACACACGACACGACACGACGACACAAATTGGACAATCTTTGTTCCATCAAGTTTTTTTCTTCTTCTTTCGCTTTTCCTAACGAGTTAAATTGTGGTCAATAACAAATTGTTTCAATCAAGTTTTTGTCTGTGTCTTGAATGTTGGTTGGTTGTTGCCATCGTCATCATCATCATCATCGACTATAGTCGTTGTCCTTATCTTCTTTGACGTCATTTTTTCAAATATTGATTCAAAAAAGAAGAAAACTTGAATTTATTTTCATTCATTTATATATGAATTCAAGGTAGAAGAAAATCCCCCCACACGAAACAAAACAAACAAAGTTTTATTCAACTTCAATCTTTTTTGGTCATTATTAATCGAAAACAACAACAATAAAACATGTCGAATGGTAATAGAATCGAATCAATGGATCAAAATGATAATAATGTTTGTTTATCATCATCGTTACCATCATCATCATCATCATTAAGTGGTCAACAACAAACAAACAGTAGTAATAATAATAACAATGGTGGTATTCATCAGATGAGATATTCATTTCAAAAACAACCATTTGTTATTGGTGTTGCTGGTGGTACAGCTTCAGGAAAGGTAATTCATTTATTCGATATTTTGTCGATAATTTATCAATATTATCTATCATTTTAGTCGACAGTATGTTCAAAAATCATTAAACGACTTGGTCCAATCGATCCAACATCAATATATTTATCACATGAAAAACGTGTAGTTCGTATTTCACAGGATTCATTTTATCGTAAATTGACCGATGATGATCGACAAATGGTCGATAAAGGATTATTTAATTTTGATCATCCAACAGCATTCGATGTTGATTTAATGGTAAAAACATTACGTGATGTTTGTGATGGTAAAATGGTTCGTGTACCAATATATAATTATAATGAAAATGAAATGTAAGTAAATCAAACCAATCAAAACCCAATCTTATAACAATTAATGTGTTTTATTTGTAAATGATAGTAGTGACAAAGAGGAAATAATCTATCCAGCCGATGTTATACTATTTGAAGGATTATTATTATTTTATTTTCCTGAATTACGTAATATGTTTCATATGAAAATATTTGTCGATACGGATCCGGATACCAGGTTATCACGTCGTGTAATGCGTGATGTTAAAGAACGTAATCGTGATTTAAGTTCAGTATTGGCACAATATTTAAAATTTGTTAAACCATCATTTGAAGAATTTTGCCTTCCGGTAATTGATTTGATTTAATTTTGATTTCGATTTAAAAAACAAAAAAAATTTTTTTTTTGTTTCCAAAACAGACGAAAAAATATGCCGATATTGTTGTACCACGTGGTCCTGATAATGAAGGTATGATTATTTTCTATTATGTGTGTGTATTTTATAACATTTTAAATCTTCAAACAAACAATCGATGTTGCATGTTCATAATCAAATTTTTTTTCATAAACACACATTTGGGTCGGTTTACACAATACTAATCACACACATATGAAAAAGATAAAAGACATTTACCATTTTCTTTTTGGAAAAGAATTATTTAGGCCATTGTCAATTTTAGATGATAACATTTTTTGATGGTTGCTGTTGACTATATATAGTCCATATTTTTTTTTATTCTTAAAAAAATAGTTTCTTAATTACTTATATTACTTACTTATATGCTTTTTCCTCCTATTTATTTATTCATCATCATCAGTGGCGGTCGATTTGATTGTAACACAAATTCATTCGGTTGTTGATCCTTCGATTCGACATCGAACAATCAAATTTGGCCGATTATTATTTTTTAATAATAATAATAATGAAGATTGTGAATTTAAACAAGAAAAAATAATAAATGTACAAAAAAGTAATAAAAAACAATCATCATCATCATCATTGTCGTTGCCATCGTCCAATTCAACTTTGTCGACAACGATTGAAAAACAAACAACGGTTAATGGTCATGTTGTTAATGGCTTCAACAATGAAAAAGAAAAATCTGTCAACGGTTTTTTGAATAATGTAATCGATTCGATACCAAAATCGATTCCTATTCATATTAAATATCCTAATAATGGTGTTAATGGTGTTAATGATCATCATAATCATAATCATCATGCTAGTTTGTTGGCTGATGAATTTGATGATATGTATCTTTCATCTTCGGCACCATCATTTATGACACATGGAATATTAAAATTCAATAAACCATCATTGATGATTAATAATGAAATTAATAACGAAAACGATATGGATTTTCCAAATCAACGTAGACAATCAAGCTATTCATCATCACCATTATCAACATCATCATCATCATCATCGACAACATCAGTTTCACCGATAACAACAACAGCAACAACAACAACCATTACTAAATCAATTGATAATAATGGTCAAACTGCAAAAATATTAATGATTGCTAGCCGTTGAATTCTTATCTTTTTGTTGCTGGAAAAAACTTAGTATTTTCAATCATTCTGTATTATCTGCCCAATGATAATTCCACAGATTTAATTTTTAAAAAAGAATTTTAAAAATTTAAAAATTTAAATTTTACAAACAAACAAACACATACATACACACACGCGCAAAAAAAACTACACAAAAACTTTATTTCATTGTGATGTTCTCTCTCTATTTGTCTCAAACTTAAAAATTGATCTTATTTCATTTTGAACACAAGAAAAACACAAAATCTCTGCAAAAAAATCTGTGATTTTCTAGCTCTTATTTTCTTCAAATTATTTTATCCGATATTAGCCAATACAAAAAACCAATACCAACAATATATTTAACTCAATTCAAATAGCTTTTTTGTTTTTGTTTCTGGAAAATGGTCATTGCATTTTTTTCTTGATAATTTTTGTGAAAATATTTTATAGAATTTTTTTTAAAATTTTCTTTTTTGGACTATTTTTTTATATACTTGGTTGTTTTTTTTATTATTATTTTTAAATGTCCGACGACTACGACGACAATGATTGACAAACAAAAAGATTATCAAACCGGCCTGTCTTTTTTTTTTGAATCATTTTTTTTTATTTGTAATAAATTCTTTTTATTTCACACTTTATGATTATGAACAGTAATTATTCAATTTGGTACTTATTCTTGGTCTTTTCTTTTCTTTCTTTCTTTCTTTCTCTTTCTTTTTTTCTCTATTTCGAATGACGTAATATTGACCAAAATACAATATGGTTGTAATATCCAAATATCGGTAGTTGCAATCGATTTTATCGTACAAACTATTCGTGATTTGATTACAAACAAAATCAAATTTCAAAAAATCATAACAACCAACAATAATTCGACTAATTCAACACCAACATCACCTATTAATGCTGAACAGAAAAATGTTGAAAAAATAAATCATCATCGTCGTCAATCATCGAAACCAATGGAAATTGTACGTGTACGTCATAATAGTGATTCAAAAGAAGATATATCATATAATCGACTTAATCCATATGAATAATATCCTTGTATTTTCCATCATTAAAAAATGAATTTGTTATTATTTGATCATCTTATTTATAACATCAGAACATTCTCTAATCGAAGATTGATGAGTTGATTGTAATTGAGGATGATTGACAAGCTCGCCTAAGGCCATCATTGCTCGATAAGCTTTGATCATACAATCTTGATTCAAATCATTGATAATTATCTCTGTAAAATAAAAACAAAAAAAATAAAAAAATAAAAATTTATACTTTTCAAACAAACAAAAAACAAAAACCTTGAAGCCAGATTTTGAAATCAATCATTTGATTTTGTAAATCATTTATAAGAAAATGTGCCGGTGTTGATTGTAAAACAATACTGAATGTATTGATGATTGCCGAACGTACATTACTGTTTGGTAAAAATACAAATGTTTGTAAAGAATTAATTGATTCAAAATGATTTTTTTAAAAACAATGCCAAACCTTTTCAAATGATTACGATAAGAATATATGAATGGTAATAATTCTTTTGACATCAACATTGTTTGTGAATGATTATGACAATTTTGTAGCATTATACCCAATGCTAATATTAATGATTCAATAATAAATGAATCAATTTCATGAATTTTCAGTTTTAAATCCATTTTTTCAAAATCACGTAATAATGGAAAGAAAAAATATTTAGCAACTGGTACAAATCGATTCGATGACATTGTTGTTGATGATGATGTTTCCGAATATTTTTGATGATAAATTGGAGAAATATATCTGGTTTGTGATTTTATTTTCTGTTCGATTAAAGATTTCCAATTTTTTTGTTCAGAATCATGATCATTGTGACTATCATCATTGTCGATATTGAAAAAATCACGTTGAAATTTTCGATTCTGTTCACTCAATGTCAAAAGTTTTTTACTGTTTTCCGGAATTGCTTTGACGAATTTATCATGATCTTTGAACTCTAATGGTTTTAATTGAGACAATTCTTCACTAGCTTTAGTCAATACGGCAAGAACATCCATACGATTACGAATAGAAATATGTTGAGCATAAAAACGATCTGTCAAATAACTGGCAACAATTTTTGGTGAACCAACACACAAAGCAATCAATGAATTCAGTCGTAATTGATCGAAATTTTCAATACCACAATTATCATCTAAATCGAATAGTATTTTCGTAAAACGTAATGATATTGAATCTAATCGATCAAAATTGGTACGAATTATCTTTTCCGAGGATTGCAAACATTTTCGCATCCAATCTGATTTTTCATAATCACAAAGGCCTTCAATACAATCTTGTAAATAAATAGGTCGTTGTTTAGAATTATCAATCAATAAAATATTTTGAATATTTTGTTGATTATTATCCGTATTCAATTGTGTACCGAAGTTTTTTTGCGTATACCGGACATCATCTTCGATTGGAATATCATTTGAAAGATCATATGGTAATAGATCATCATCATCATCATCACTATCTAATGGTGTAGATGTTGATTTTATATCATCGATAGCATCGATAGTTGATTTTATTTCATCGATAATCATCTTTTCGGGTAGTGTTTTTTGGTTGTTTTGTACACGAGAAATTTCAAACATTTGATTCAAATCAAATGAACCAAGATATTTTAAATATTCACAATCATCATTTTCAATATTTTTTAGTTCGGGAAATTCCGGTAATTCAATATTGATAGAATTGAATTTTATAAAAAGTTCAAATAAAATCAACGATGTTGTAAGACCAATACTACGAAATTCTTGCTGTGAACTGGCCAAATTGATAGTCGAACCATTGAATGTTGATGATTGTAATTTTTCAATAATTTTTTTCATATCATCTTGGCCATGATAATCATGTCGATATTCCAATAATAATCTTCCGATCAAAATCATTAAACGACAAAGATAAAATTGTTGCTGATATTTACGATAATTGAATGCATTTGAATTTGACCATGCATCCATTACATTGTTTGATAAAGAAATGAACCATTTCGAATTGCAACGAAATAAATAACCCAATAAATTATAAATAAATTGATCACGATTAAATCTATCAACATTCAATGGACAATGATAGATCAAAACAAATTTGTTTGTCAATAAGAATTCAATTTTTGATAATAATGAAATATGTTTACAAATAAAATCGAATGGAAATAATATTTCGATCGATTTCGAACAAGATGAATAATGAAATATCATTTTGAATAATGGTTCTAAAAATTTAGACATTTCTGAAATGGATTGTACATTATCGGTATGTTCTTCTTCTCGATGATAACCGAAAAGGATATCTTGCGCCAGTTTATTCCATTTATCATCTTCAATAATTTTATCGAATAAATTTTTTAACAAATGATTCCAAATCGGTTCCTGATAGCCTCGTAAACATAAACGACGAACAATACAATGTATGTGATGCATAACGTAAGATTTTCTTTCTTGATCACAATCATGTATCCGATGTAGAATATGTTCCAAAACATGACACAGTCTGGAAATATAATTTTTCGTTTCGAACATACGTGGATAACTGGATCCATATAGATTGGCAATTAATTCCGGGAACGATACCAAAATATTGATGAATTTATCAATTTCGAATGATGAATATTTTTGCATCTGCAGTCTTTCGGCTATTGTTATCACAAGATTTTCAAAATTTTCCGATTCAAAAACAATATCAATAAGAATCGACATTATTTTATCACGTCTTAATGATTTTTCTTTTTCAATCAATAATTTTTCGATAAAAATATTGAATTTAAAAATTGAACAAAATGAAACAACATAATCATAGAATTGATTATATTTTTCCGAATCATTTTCAATTCCATTCTTTAATTGATCAATTTGTTTGGCTATATTTTCAAAATTATCTTCAATCGAATCCATGATACGCATCAAGAATCAAGAATTTTTTTTTTTAAAATGCATCCCAATTTAAAAACAATGTGCTCGACGCCATTCATGAACGACGAGTATACGAGTAAAATTTATTTTTAAAAATTTTATAAAAATTAAGTTTTTAATTTTCCATATAAGTTAAAATCAATAAATCAGTAGAAAAAATGACATCATTTGCTAATAAATCTTTTATAGAATGTGAAAAACAAATAAAATTATTATTATTTTGTTTTTCACAACATTTTTTCGATTGATTATTAATTAATAATCCTTCATTTGTAAGTATTAATTTTGGTTTATCCGATTGATTATTTTTGTTTATCAAAGACCATTTCTTTGCTAACCAATCTACACATTTACCGATTGACCATTCTTTGCAAAGAAAAATTGGTTTATCACGAAATTCTTTACATTCCTGGTTGTAGCTTATTTCATTCGGAATGAATGAAAGATAAAAATATTCTCGTTCTTCCATCGGTATGGATTCAAAACCAATACCTTGAGATTTTAATTTCATTAATGCTACTTTCAATGCTAATGGATTATTTTTTGCTCCACGATTTTTAACGGTTATACCTGGTTTATATTCCGAACGAATTTTGGCCAATATGTTTGACATTTTTGAATCTAATTTAGCATTTTCATTTTGAAATGATGTTTCATCAAGTTTCAAACATTTATGATCAACTTGATGTCTATGATGAAGACAAAATCTATTTAAACAATGATTACAAATTGATGATTGTGTAATCTGTACTGAATTCGAACAAAAATGACATTTAATAAAATCATTCGATTTTGAATCCTTTGAAATTGTTTCATTCGATTCATATTGTTTATCCGTCATACATCCATGAGAAATTCTATGAATTTTACTGCGAATAAAAATATTGATTATTTTTTTTTCAAAAACAAAATCGATAGTAAACATTACCAGAAATAGTTATTACAATGAACACATTTGATGGGCAAATAATCTAAAATGAAAGTGAAAATTTTCTAAACAATAAATTTTCAAAGAAAAATAAATAAATAAATACCAAGCATAGAACAGATGGAACAATGTTGGCCTAAATTTGGTAATTCAGCCATATTTTTATTTATAAAGTTTTGAAAATTCTTATTTTTTCAATTTAAACAAAACAAAACAAAAAAAAAATTCTTGAAAAATGAATTGTGCTGACAAATGATATTTTTTTTTGTCTTCACAAGAATATCAGTTTATATCTGACAAGTTACACATTGATTGTTTTAACATTTTTTTAATGAATTTTGATGTTAAATTTTTTGAATAATTATATATAATTAGTTTATGAATTGAAAAAATAATATGAAATTCTGTTAGATTGATATGAAAAATGAAAATCGAATGAATCTAATTGATTGATTGTTATTTATTTTAAACATCCATTTTGTGTTGTTCCATTTTGCTGTGTTAGCATTAGGCCAAAACGTTTTTTGATCATTATTCTTTCTTTGGCAAATCGATCATCGGGCGAAAAACGAGCTTTAATGATAATAATAATTAGAAGGATTTAGTTAAATCTTCCCGCATTACATATAATAATCTTGAGTCAAGATTCTTGACAACCAAATACTAACCTGGATGAGCTGAAAATGTTGGACGTCCAGATGGATCAACTTTGGCCATAGTGTACACACGTTTATTAGTATCATCTAAATAATACATAAGATACATTGTTTTTTTCGTTGATGATAATTTTGAATTTAACGATAGGCAAAAAAAATTTAGATAAAAAATTGAAATTTTTAGAAAATTTCCCTTCGAATATTTGATTCGGAATGAAAATAACATGTGCTTTCGCAATGCGCATGATCAAATGGAATATTTTTTTAAAATTCATAAATAATGTACAATTTCGAAACAAAAAAAAACAAAAATTCAAATCTTAAAAACAGAAAATTTTATTTCCATAAGAAAAACTATTCATTTGAAACTATAGTAATCAAACAACAACCAAACAAACAAAAAAAAATTTATCATAATACACAGCAAAAAAAACAGATTCAATGTATTTCAACTCTTAAAACATATTTAAAATTATGTCGAATAATGGCAAAACCAATTCCAGTAAAAAATGCCAAAATTGAACATAATAAATGAATAATGGCAATGATTTTCAAATCATAACGTATCGTAATATTAGTAAACCAATCATTATTATCATCAATAATTTCATCCGGTGTATGTTGATCAAAATAACAGCTAAACATATTGAAAAAATAGATGGCAATAATAAAATTGATAATGGCAATCATTGTGAATAGGAAAAAAGTTAAACGACAAAAATTACGACGAAATAATGTTATTTTGATTCTTGTCATACATTGTACAATAAACAATAATAATGAAATAACACTTGTGGTGATGGCCAATATTAATGATAAATTCACCTGAATTTTACGTGCATACCAACATTCTGGTTCAGGAAACAATAAATAAATATAAGGCGGTATTAATAATGAAAATATTATTAATAATATCCATGTAAAATAATAAATGGCACCTAAACGTATTAAACGAATTCTTCGTTCACGATTACTATAATGTAACATTGATCGTGGTGATGATCGTTGTTGACAATGATAATGATGATGTCGTGATTCTTTTGATGTTGTTAAACTTGTTGATTCTTCCATGTTTGTATTCGAATCCATTTATGAATATTATTAATTATTTTTTTTTCTTCCCAATTTATGTGTTTTTCGATGAAAATATTTTGTTTTTAAAAATGATTGCAAACCAAAACAACTTAAGTATTAGATGCTGTCTGTAAATCCATTGGGAATGAATGAGAATCAAATCAGGTTATTATTTTTAAAAAATAGTTGTCAACAACAACAACAACAACAAAAAATAACCGAAAATTGTTGGAAAAAATAAATATTATTCACAATAATTCATCGTGGTTAGTGTTATGATGATTTGATGTGTGTGTGTGTGTGGAAGACTTTAAAAAAAAAACATAATTAAACCATTAAGACGTAAACATGAAAGAGATGTACAGAGAGTGAGAATTGAAAAGAGATGAAAACCACTGTTGAAAGTAAAAAAATGTTTGATGTTAAAGTTGTTGATTAGAAAACGTCTTCAAACAGAAAAAAATAAGGAAAAAATAAACGATTGACGATGGATTCAGTTTGTTATGACTATCTTTTCGCCACCACCACCATACACACACAAGGCTGATATATGAAAAGAAAAAACTTTGACAATAACTATAAATTATTTGTATTTTACACTAAATGATTTGAAACAAAAACAAAAAAAAAGTTGTTCGATTTATCAGCATAGAATTTTTTGCCAAGACCAGCGTGAAATAGATATTATTTAAGACGACAACAACAATATAAGTAAAAGATGAAGACAGCAACATTTCAAAATTCAGTCATCCATTCACATATAATCATCATTTTTGCCTTTGTTTTTTTTTGATGTTGATGATGATAACGATGGTTGTTGTTGTTGTTGTTTTTTTTTCGGTTCAATCCACCACAATCATAAGTTTATATTTGGTTTCAGAAGAAATCAAAAAATTCTTTACTTGTCTTTCTGGATGATGAGAATTATTTTCAATGAATAAAGATTTCAAAGTAGTCGTAGATGATGATGATGTGAACATCAATATTTTTATTTTTATTTTTTTTGGTTGTCATCAAACGTCAAAAAAAGACGAAGACAACAGACAGCTGTTTATTGCAAATCTAGAATAGAGAAAAAGAAAATCAAAAGAAAACAAGAATTAAAGAAAAAAGTAGAACAAAAAAATGAATGGAAAAAAAGATGTGATTCGATGTGATAATAAAATTCTTAAACTTTGAAATAATGAAATTTTTTGTATTCTTATCGTTTTTGTCATTTTACTATTGCTTTTGGATTGATCTAATATTAGTGATATATTGGTTGGTTTTGAGGTTTTTGTTTCCCCTCCAATATATATTGGTTGCTGTCAAAACATAACTTGTCAAAAAAAATAAATGTTACGCCTTTATTTGTTTTTGTTGTTGTTTGGTTGTTACTGGTTGTCCGGACATCATTGCTATGACATAACATCATCAAATGATCAATATCGAGACATAACGAGAAGGAGAAGAAGAGAAAAAAATGCAAAGAATAACATGAAAAGAATAACATTGAAATGACAGCCAATTTTGAATTTCATTCAGATGAATGAATGAATAAATGTATGAAGATATTATACATGATTAATTTATCAATATTTTTTCTTTTTTGTAATTCAAATTCTCCATATATCCGGGTTCTTTTTTTCTCTTCAATTATTATCGATTTGGCTAAATTAATTAATTAACAATGGAAAAAATAATTAATTAATTGCTTGAACAAAAAAAAACACTGAAAAAAATAAACTACAAACCCGCATAGGTAATGATGATTCAAACTCAGATTAAAAATCTATACCAGACGCTAAAATGAAAGTTTGTATTTATTAAACTAAGGTAGGTAAAAAAATTTGACCCATTCATTTGTTAACCTCTTCATACCATCGTACAAACGAAAAATAACCAAAATATTTTGTTCAAATGTCAGTTTTCTGTTGTTTTTTTTTTGCTAACATAAAAAAAATGATAAATCATCGACATTAAAGTAAAATAAAATATTTATATTGAAAAAAGTAACGACAACAAACAAACAAAAACTTGATGATCCAAAAATATGGAACAAAGTAAGAATTGAAAGAAAGTAGGATAAATCAATAATGGCTGCTGTGTGTGTGTGTAAACAATGAAATAGAATTTGGATTGAAAAAAACGAATGAGAAAAAAATAAATAGAAAATGATAAACTTACGAAACGGGAAAAAAAATCAATTATTCTTTTCTTTTCTTTTTTTCTACCAGGCATTCAAATTTGAATGTGATCCATATGGCTTACTGTGTGTGTAGGTAGATATGATATTGACACAATTGTGCTGCACATAGATAAATGGATGGAAACCAAACCCAAACACAGAGAACATAGAATAACAATTATATCAAACAAACAAATGAATGAATGAATGATTGATTGATTTCGATAATGATAATTATTATTATTTGTTGACCAGAGATGAAAATAAGAATGGTAGAAATTCTTCGGTTTATACACAGCAAAATTGGAATGTTTTTTTTTTTGTCAAGAATGAAAAGTTTGTTGTTGTTGTTTGTTGTTGTCTGGTGTATAGTAGCCGCCAATTGATTTGTTTCAAAAAAAAATGAATTTTTTTTCATTTGAAAAAATAAAAATTGCAATCTTTGCAATCAAGCAGTAGCATAGACAATAAAAACATACACGTAAACACACGGTGTTTTCTAAAATGATTGAAAAATAAAAAATTATGGATATTGGATATGTGTGTGTGTGTGTGGGAAAAAACAAGGCGTCAATTCATATCCTGATGATGATGATGAGCTGCTATGTGATGAACTTAATTACAACATAGACATATCAAATACACCGAACACAAACACATACACACACTTGACGCCAAACCACAAACATACCAACCAACCAACCAACCATTTCCATCAAGTCCATGCGTTTTAACCAAATTAAGATGTCTATGTGTGTGTGTGTTTGGGTGGTTTTTTTTCATTATAACATCATCATCACTGAACTGAATAGAATATTTGATAATGGACATCATCATTCATTCATTCATTCATCCATTGTTTTGATATAATGAAATAATGATATTTGTTTGGGTGGTGGTTTTTTATCATTCGAAATTTTGTTGTTGTTGATGATGATGATGATGGAGAACGTGATTCTTCAAATCATAACTACTATTGTTTGTAACATACAAAAGATGCGATCTCTTGAACACAAAAAATAAAAATTGGTAATTCAATTGAGGCCAAAATAAGAAAAATTTTGTTTGTTTGTTTGTTTGTTTTCATCAATATTGATAACATAGATGAATGAACAGAATTTCAAGATAATTGAAAAAAAATTCTTTGAAATTTTCATTTTAAACAACCAAAAAATAAAACGGTAGGTGTCCATTGTTGGCATTTGAAGAAGAAGTGAAAAAAAAAACAAGAATAAGATTATTATCATCATTCACTCACTCGACCATAAATAAACAACGAAAATGAAAATAAATTCAAATGCGAATTGTATGTTTATGTGTGTATTTCACTTTAGAATTCAATAAAAAAAAATTCATCAGATTAACAACAACGATGGACAAAACAATGGACAATTTGAACAACAAAAAGCTGAGTAATAAATTGAAAAACACACAACACAACACAATATCACAAATGATAATAAAAAAAAGAGAAAACTTTCAAATTCATTCATTCGTGATTTAAGGATGTTTATTTTATTTTTCTTTTTTGTATATATTGTCAATAACATAAAACTTCAATTCTTCTTCTTAGTTTTTTATTGCACACATCTTTTCTTTTTTATTCTGCCTAATATCAAGAAAGAAATTGGATTGAAAAACAACAAACAAACAAAAAAAAATAAGAAAATTTTTGTTTTTTGGATGGAATTCGAATGCAAAACAACAAAAAAAAAAAACAATATCCATTCCATTCCGGTTGTCAACATTCGAATTTTTTCTTTCTGTTGTCATGTAATTTATGAACGAACCGCGGTTCCAACATTCGAATTCGAATGTTTCGAAAATCCGTTCCATTTTTTTTTCTTTTTATAAAAATTTTGATAATGATTTTTTCATTTTTGTTTTTTGTTTTGTTTTGTTTGCAAATTCTATTGATTTATTTGTTTAGAATCTCAATCTGTTTTTTTTGGTGTGTTTGTTTTATTTTTTTTTTGGTTTAAATTAGTTTTGTTGTTGCTTAATTGATTGTTTGGCTGATCGATTAAAATAAGATAAAATAAGAGAAGAAACCAAATTTGTTACTCAATACAATTGAAATGAAGAAAAAAAATCGATAAAATTTCGTTTTTCACCTGCCCTCAAAACGAAAAAAAACTTCTGGTAAAAATCTAAGCTAAAATTGATGAAACAATAAAAACGAAACAAAAAAAATGTTTGAAATCAAAAATGATCCGAAAAAAAAGAAAATGGAAAAAATTCAACCAAGCGAAAATTTTCATCATCATCATCAAATCATCAAAATGGAAAAAAATTTGCAAAAAAATGACAAAATGTATGGATTTGAAAAAATTTGTTTTCTCAAAAAATGATCCATCAAGAAAACGATTCAATTTTCTTTCGTTTTACCAACAACAACGACAAAAAAAAGAAAAACTTTTATTTTATCCATATAATCTATTCGGGCTATGATTCAACCAACAACAACCAAAGTGAACACATTTCAAACACACATACATACTGAACACATTTTTACCATTATCATCTTGAAAATCCTATATAATAACAACAATGATCATCATCCATATAACATACAAATCGTGTACCACTAGAAAGAATTTCCCGTATATTCACTTGTTCCTATAGTTTTTTTATGCATGCTTTTTTTCACTCATATATTGATCATATGAGAAATATTCTTAATGTTTTTTCCATTGATAAAAGAAGAAAGAAGAAGAAAATCCTTTTATTGTTTTGTTATATGGAAAGAATTGAAGAAATTTTCATGATTTATGGGTTACCATAGTTGATGATGATGATGATGATGATAAACAACGAAAAAACAACAACAACAATAACCTTTATATTTTGTTTGCTGTAAAAAATTGATTGACTTATATTATGAAGTTTTGAATGAATGAATCATCATCATCGTCGAATCAAATATCAATTTTTTTGTGTTTGTTTTAAAATCATCACTTTACTTGATCATCTTACTATGCTGATTTGATTTTTTTTTAAATTTGCAAACAACAAACGAAAAAAAAAACAGACGACCGTCGGCTAACAAGGTCATATTGCCATTTTTTTTATTGTTGAATGTTCTCCCTGTGTTATCATTTGCAAACGATCAACATTCATTGATAAAAGTGATAGAGAGAGAGAGAAAGCTGAATAATAAATTCTTTTCGTTCTTCGAATACGATTCATTCATTTATTCATTCACGTTACGTCAATCAACGTTTTTTTTTTGGCTTGTGTTTGTGTCATCTTCAAATATCTTCTGAAAAAAAAACAACAACCATGCCGACTATTGAAGAAGGAATTAAATTGGATTTCAAAGATGTTCTATTACGACCAAAACGTTCAATATTGAAAAGTCGTGCCGATGTTGATCTAAATCGTGATTTTAAATTTCGTAATTCAGAACATACATATCATGGAATTCCTGTCATTGCTGCCAATATGGATACGATCGGAACATTTGAAATGGCTGTCGCATTGAATAAAGTAAGCAGAAAAAAACGAAAAAATTTCAATATTTTTTTTCTCGACTGACATTTTGATTTTTCTTTTCTTTCAATTTTTTCTTTCTATTGATATAGCATAACTGCTTTACTTGTATACACAAACATTATTCCACAGAGGAATGGATTGAATTTAGTAAAAATTATCCGGATACATTGAAAAATGTTGCTGTCAGTTCTGGTTCAAGTCAAAATGATTTTGAAAAATTAAAAGAAATAATTGCTATTGCACCGGATATTAAATATATTTGTTTGGATGTTGCAAATGGTTATAGTGAATCATTTGTTAAATTTTTAAAAGATGTTCGTGAAGAATTTCCTAAACATACAATAATGGCCGGAAATGTTGTTACCGGTGAAATGGTTGAAGAATTAATTCTTTCTGGTGCTGATATAATTAAAGTTGGAATCGGTCCGGGATCTGTTTGTACTACACGTAAAAAAACCGGTGTCGGTTATCCACAATTATCAGCTGTATTAGAATGTGCAGATGCTGCACATGGTTTAGGTGGTCATATTATATCGGATGGTGGTTGTACTTGTCCGGGTGATATTTGTAAAGCATTTGGTGCTGGTGCTGATTTTGTTATGTTAGGCGGTATGCTTGCTGGACATGATCAATGTAATGGTGATGTTGTTGTTAAATCGGATGGACAAAAAGTTAAACAATTTTATGGAATGAGTTCCGGAACGGCTATGAATAAATATCATGGTGGTGTTGCTGAATATCGTGCATCCGAAGGAAAAACTGTCGAAGTACCATATAGAGGTGATGTTGAGAAAACAATATTGGATATATTAGGTGGTTTACGTTCAGCATGTACATATACGGGTGCATCAAGATTACGTGAATTACCAATACGTACAACATTTATACGTGTTACACAGCAAACAAATGAAATATTTCATCGATTAGAAATTTGAATATTTTTATTTTTTTTTTAAATTATAAATTCTAAATTCTGAAGAAAAAAAATTTCTTCATATTTTGGGTGCCAAAAGACACACAGATTGCAGGCATGGCCTTTTATTTTTCTGGAAACAAACAAACAAATTGATTGATTGAAATGAATTTTAATTATTTTTAAAAATAAAAATTATTATTGAAAATTTGTTGATTTAAATAATATTCTACAGCTAGTCATATTGAATTTAAGTAATTGAAATTCTCTATGAAACATTTCAATACGTTTGATTGTCAGACTTCGTGTTTGTTCAACATTATCATTCGATGTCGATGTTGATGCGGATGATTGTTGTTGTGTTTGCAAACGATTTATAATTGTGGTGGTTGTTGTAGAAGATTCTTCTGTTTCCAATTTGGGCATCGATTGTCTAACATAATCATCAACCGAAGCAAACCATTGTAATGAATCAAAATCATTTAATTGATCTAATAATTTTAATATATAAATAATACCCATTGCAAAACCATCATCAGTGAATGAAGCACCTTCTTGTTTATTTTTTCTTGCTAATTTTTCTTTACAAAGAATAATATGTTCCACATAATTTAATGTAGTAGCCGGTAATATTACATAAAAATTTTTCAAATGAACATGTTTTTTATTACGAAATGTAGGTGCAAAAACTTCGACTAATAATTTAAAATAATCAGTTGCTTCCGAATAATTATCGGCAATTGTTTTCAATACTGAATCAAGATTACGAGCTGCTTCAAATGTTTCATCACTAAATTCTTCTTCTTCTTCGGTTGAATGTTCTTCTTCGATCATTTTTTCAAACAATGTTTGTTTCAAATCATCAAGATCCGGTATAAAATTAGCAATTTCACCCGTACAATGTAATGCACCATTACGTAACATTCGTACAAATCCCATTACATTACCAATTTGTGTAATTAATTGACGAAATTTATCCAAATATGTCATATTATCTTTTGTAATTCCAAGTTTACGAATTCCTTTTACAAATTTATCTGCACGTTCAAATGGAAATTTGATCAATTTATTACCATTATTACGACCAATACGATTCATTTCTTCATTAGCCATCATTAATTCTCTAAAATGACGAATATCTTTAATCAATCGTGATTTTATATGTTCTTCATAAAGAAATTGAAATAATGTTTGTAATTTTTTTCGTAAAAATTGATATGCAAAATTCACTGTTGAATTCAATATACCGAAACCATGTGTTTGTACCGAATTGGCTATATGTCGAATAGTAAGAACATTTAGATGTTTATTTGAAGAATTTCTTTCAACAAAAAATTGATTATTCAAATTATACATATAAGCTGCAACAAATATATGTATATTACGTGTAATTTCCAATACATCTAATCCTTGTTCTAATGTTTGTGTTGGCAGCTGTAACGATGCAAATTCTAGTCCAAATTTTGAATGTGCAAAACCCAACATTGATTCATATGTTTTCCAATCATGTAATGCAATTGTTGTCATATTATAAGCAAGTTCATTAAGAAAATTTTCAAAATAATTTTTAAACCATATAATTTTTCTACCATTAAAAATTTTTAACGGTTCTGTTTGTAAAAGTTTTGAAAAATCTTTATAATTTCGTTTGAATGGATTTTTATCACCCAATTGTAGATCTAGATGTGATAAAAATCGTAATTCATCTTCAAAATCTTTACAAACAGGATTTAAAAATTTCATTTTAAACATACGAACAATATCATCCAAACAAGCATTGATAAGTTTTTCTGTTTTTATTTCATCATCAATCGAACGTAACAATGGAATTGAATCAGATATTGCGGCAAAAAAATATTGTAAATCATTTATATTGTTCGAATTGAATGATTGGCCACCAAATGATTCATAAAAATGATGAAAATAAACTTTGATAATTTCATTATTAAAATATAAATATTGACAATCAAACATTTGGCTAATAATATTGAATATATTCAGGAAAAATGAAATACGTTGTGTGAGTATTTGTATTTTTGTTAGATCATCCACCGTAAACAAATCCATATTCGATGTACAATATGCAAAACATAATGATATTAAAATAAAACGTTTCGATGTTATAACCGGACCATTTAAACAATTAGCACAAAGTATTATTGATGATAATTGATCAAGTTTTTGTTCAGAATAATTTGTAACATTATTAAGTAATTTACGTTTTGTACGTGTTAAAATATTCAATATTGCACAGGCATTATATTTTTGATAATGTGTTATTATTTCGATTAATAATTTTTTATTATTAGCAAAAAATCTTTTAATTCCTTGTAATAATATTATTGCTTTACAAAGTGCTACAGTATCAATTTTTGATAATGGTCTATTACATTGACAATGAATAGCAATACAATTCTTGATTAGATTGGATAATTGCCGTATATGTTCAAAACCATCTTTCATTAATTGAATATGATTGAATATTTGATTCAATGCATCACCTTCACCAATATCATTATAAAATCCTGAATTAAATGATTGTTCAATAGTAACTAACCAATGTGTAATAAATGGTATTAATGTTTTCATTTGATGTTCAATAAATCCTGGTTTCATTAACAATTCTCTTTGATTAACGAAATGATCAAAAAGACGTGTATCAGCTAATTGTCTTGGAAGTGTATATAAAAGCACTTGATCCGGAGAAATGTTTATATTTCCAGGAAGATGTACGAAAAGTATATTCAGCTTTTTCTGTACATCGATTATTATTTTCAATAATTTTTTATCCGAATCTTTCCAAAACAAATGAACATATAAAGAGAAAAATGCTGTAACGGATAAAAGTCTATATTCATCGATAAATTTTTCATCATTTTGTTGTTGTTGTTGTTCCAATTGATTACAAACATTACGAATATAGGTGGACATATTTTCATTTAAATAATTATTTTTCAATATAGAATCATTTTCGGCAATATTTAAATTCATTATAGAAATAATAAGACCTTTGAAAAACATTGAATCAATACTTTGAAATGCTTTATTTGTTGTTGTTGAACAATTACCGGCAATAAAACCTTCTAATAATTCACGTTCAATTTCATTGATTATGGTCATTAATGATTGAATTTCATTTTCACGATGTTCTAAATGATAATGCGGTAGATCTCTTAACACTGTTGCTAATGATCGTTTATAATTGAAAATATCACGACGTATTACTGATGATTGTTGACTAAATATTTGATCCAAATTAATTAAAGTTAACGCTAAATTGGAAAATGATTCCCATACAATATCAAATCGTATATTTTCATTTAAATCTGGAAGAATTTCACGAATTGAAATTTGAAATTGTTTATCTTTGGTTTTGACATTAGCATATAAAAGAAATGTATGCTGTTGCATGAACAAATTGCTGGCCACTTCATAACAACGTTTAACATAACAAATTAAATTGAATAAAATCGGTAGAATTGCTGCAACAGCTGAAAATTCATCATCTTCATCAATCATTTTGTTATTGATTTTACCATTATCAGTTTTTACATCCAAAATTATTGCCTCTTTTGCTGCTGAATTAATAACATTATCTTCACGATACAAAAGTATTGGACCGATAAATTTCTGTATACCAATGATGGATAATTTATTCATTTCTTCAACTAACGAAGCAAATACTAACATTAATTTATTTAATTGAGTATTACCACATGTTTGTAAAAGTTCCAAAAAATTTGTATGTTCATCAATCAGTATATTTTCATTACGTGCATAAAAACTACGATGTTCATCGAAAAAATTGAATGAACTAAAACAGCTATTCGATTCGGAAAAATTAAATTTATCCAAAAGATTTTCTATATCCGAATAAAGTTCATCGATATAATTTCGATATTTTTTCGCCGTATCGTGTCGAAGTTTATCTTTGAAATTTTGAAATAGAAATTATTATTTTTTTTAATTTAAATAAAAAACATTTATCCTTTTTTTTACCGATTATTTCTTGATCCAAATCCGATGAAGTAGACATTTTGTTTGAAAAAAATTACCGATTTGAAATAATGATAAAGAATTTTTTTAAAACAAAATAACACCTCTTCAAATCAAAACAAAATAAAAAAATCTTTGAAAGTTTCCATGGAATTTTTCATTCGAAAAGTTTCCTTGGAAATTCTTGGATTTTGTATCATCGGCGAAAAAGAATGATTCGTGTTCGACGAAGAATTATTTTTTTAATAAAATTATTATGGTTTTTGTAAAAAAATGTTTACCAAAAGATATTTTTTTTGGTAAAAATAAAAAACAAATTAATTATTTTACAAATTTTTTGATCCGTAAATGTCATAATTTAAGTGATAAAATTATTAAACCCGAATATGATGTGATTGTTGTTGGTGGTGGACATGCTGGTGTTGAAGCTGCTGCAGCAGCATCACGAATGAAATGCAAGACTTTATTGATAACGCATAAGTTCGAGACAATCGGAGAGATGAGCTGTAATCCGGCTTTCGGTGGAATCGGTAAAGGACAATTAATTCGTGAAATTGATGCTTTGGATGGTCTTTGTGCTCGAATCTGTGATAAATCGGGAATTCAATATAAAGTTTTAAATCGTAGTAAAGGTACGGCTGTATGGGGATATCGTGCACAGATTGATCGTAAACTTTTCAAACATCATATGCAAGAAGAAATTCGACATACTCCTAATCTTACTGTTCATTGTGCTTCTATCGAAGATCTTTTGCTGGAACATGAATCATCAAACGATGGAAAATTTATTTGCAAAGGTATTGTTACTGATTTAGGAAAATGTATTACTAGTCATTCGGTTGTGATATGTACTGGTACTTTTTTACGAGGAGAAATCAATATCGGATTAGAACATTATCCGGCTGGAAGATTGGGTGATCAACCGGCCATTGGCCTCGCACAAACATTCGAAAAACGTATTGGATTTCGAATGGGTCGGCTTAAAACAGGAACACCACCAAGAATCGATAAAAATACTATTGATTTTAATGGTTTAGAAAAAACATTCGGTGATAATCCTCCTTTACCATTTTCATTTCTAAATTCATCCGTATGGATCAAACCTGAAAATCAATATTATACATGGCTTACATTTACTAATGATAAAGTAGCGGATATTGTACGTAAAAATATTCATTTAAGTCGTCATGTTCGTGAAGAAGTACGTGGTCCTCGTTATTGTCCTTCGATTGAATCGAAAATTTTAAAATTTAATAATCGTTCACATCAAATTTGGCTTGAACCCGAAGGATTAGATACGAATGTTATCTATCCGAATGGAATTTCCTGTACATTACCTGAAGATGTACAACGAATTCTGATTAATTCAATTGATGGACTAAAGAATGCAACAATGCTTCGACCAGGATATGGTGTTGAATATGATTATGTTGATCCAAGACAAATCCGACCATCATTAGAAACTAAAAAAGTATCAAATCTTTTTCTAGCCGGACAAATTAATGGTACTACTGGATATGAAGAGGCTGCATCACAAGGTATTATTGCAGGTATAAATGCTGCACTAAATGCTAATCAATCAAATAATCCTAATCAAAATTTACCAAAAGAATTTATTATCGATCGAACTGAAGCATATATCGGTGTATTAATAGATGATTTAACGTCATTAGGTACTAATGAACCATATCGAATGTTTACTAGTCGTGCAGAATTTCGTTTATATTTACGACCAGATAATGCTGATATTCGTTTAACTGAACGTGGTTATAATATTGGTTGTGTTAATAATGATAGATATGAAAAATTTCTTCAAACCAATAATGCATTGGAAAATGCAAAACAATTTCTACAATCAAAACGTTATTCAATGATCAGATGGGCGAATATTCTCGGGTTAAATAATAATCAAACAAGTAGTACAAAAGTAAAAGATGGTTTAGAAATGTTATCCATTTCAAATTTATGTAATTTTGAAAAATTCTATAATATATTCCCTGATGAATTATTTCAAATCAATTCGGATCCTATTCTTATACAACGATTAACATCCGAAGCATTTTATTATCGTGATATAATTGAACAACAAACACTTATGGAAACTGTTAAACGTGAACAATCTACATGTATTGATGAAAATATTGATTATTATGATGAATGTCTTAATCTTTCCGCAGAAGTTCAAGAAATTCTTTCCGAATATAGACCAACAACAATTGGAGCAGCAACAAGAATACCCGGTATAACACCGGCTGCTATTGTAAAAATTTTATTTTTTCTACGTCGAAAACAAATTGTTGATCAAAACAACAAAAAAAATATTATTTACAACCATTCAACATGAACAGTAATCATGTTGTTGTTGTTGTTTTGATCTATTCTTTAATCCAAGCTGTTTTGTTTTTTTTTGTTAATCAATGATTAAAAAACAAAAATGATCGCACGCGAATGCAATTTTTGTTGTTTTCGCTGCTGTTGTTGTTGTCAAGCAGTTTAAATCGGTTTTATTCGGTTTGATTCTTGTCACATTTTTTTTTGTTGTTGTAAATAAACAAACAAATGTGGATTAAGATTTGGTTGATTGTCCTCGATTTTTAATACGCAAGCTGCCAATGTTTTTTTCGTTTTTATCATTGAATCATCACATTTCAAAATTTATCAATTTGACATTGTTTCCATATTATTGATTGATTGATTGATCCAACCATTAATAATCATCATAAATTTTTCAATTAATCTTTTCTAAAAACCGTTTAACGATTCTATTATGGCCTCATTTTTTTGTTGATAAATAATCGCGTGTGCCTCAGACAGACAAAAACGCACAGCATTATTGTGTCGAATTGGGGGTAACGTGAAACGCTGGCGAAGAAAAAAAAAATTCAGGTCAACTTTTGATTCAAAAACAGAAAAATTAATTTTTTGAAATTAAAAATTTTTAATAAAAAATCAATGTAAAAAAAAATAATAATAATAATTTATATACAAAACAAATATAGAAAAAAAAAGTTTCCGATGATGATAATGATATGTTAAACAAATGAATAGAAAAAAAAAATTGTATACACTTTGTGTATTATATCGATGTGTGCATGTGTCATTAAGGGCAAAATATTTGAAGAATTAATAGTTAAGAATAAGAAATATATTCAAGATAAACCAATTCGATTTTTTTCGATTAGATCGATTTTCTTTGTTTTAATCAAGGCAATTTAACCAACATTCGTTATTCTGAAATTGAATTTTCTAATGGTTTTTTTCTTATTTCACCAGCTTGATCATTTGGGTTTGGTACCATAAATATGATGAATATTAATAGAAGAATGTCGAATGCCAAAAATATAAAAAATACAAATTGATTGATTTGAATGATAAGCAATGGAAAGGCAAATGCTGTTTGTTGATATTCAATTGGAAAAAACAGATAAAAAAGAGTTGAAATTTGATTATAAAATAATGAAATTATTAATGATAATAGTAATTACTTACCGACTAGAAAATTGCAAAACCAATTAACAAACACTCCAATGCTTAGACCGGTACTCATCGATGCACTATCAAAAATTTGTCCACCAATCATAAATGGTATTGGTCCTTGACCAATAGCAAACATAAATACATAGAAAAACATCATTGCTATTGTAACAAAATTAAGCCATTCAAATTGATCCTGTAAAAATAACCAAGTGATTTAAAAAAAAATGAAAATGAAATTTCATTATTCGTTAATAAATATATCTTACATTGAATGACATTGAGATCGGAAGTATTAATAAACCTAATGTTGTACCAATTGTACTGATTAATAACATTGTACGTGATGAAAATGATCGTAATAAACGTGATGATAATATTGCACATAATGTATTCAATAATGAACAACCAATACTACCATATTGACTTTGTAATTGACTTAGACCAACACTACGAAATGTATTTGTTGAATAATAAAAAACAGCATTTATACCGACTAATTGTTGGCCAGCATGAAGCAAACAAACAATTAATAAACCTTTACGAAAATGTGATTGTTTGAATAGCTGTAATAATGATGAATTATTGCTACCACCTTCTTCACATTTTTGTTCACGACGTAAATTGGCAATATCATCGGCAACTTCCATTGGATGTTTACGAATTTGTTCTAAAACTTTTATGGCTAATTTTTCACGTCTTCGAACGACAAACAAATATACTGGTGATTCAGGCATAAAAAATAGACCAATCAATCCAACAGTAATAAACATTGCATTAATAAAAAATAATAATTGCCATGATCGGGCTGTTCCAAGTATACTTTCTAAGCCCATAATTTGTGCAAAACATAGGCCACCATTTAAACCCATAACATGTAATGTACCGAATGATGATGATGAACTTTTTGGTGATATTTCCATTAAATACATTGGAACAATACTTGATGCAATGCCTGTATGAAAACCGGCAACTAATCTACCGGCCATAAACATTGGAATGTTTTGCATATATTTTGAACTCCATGTTAAACACATAGCAATTAAACCAAGCATAATATTTAAAAATATAACACCACGTCTACCAATTCGATTAGCTAAATAACCAGTTATAATCGATGTAATCATTGCACCAATAACTAATATTGAAACAGCAATAGACCATATTAATTCAATTTGATTTGTATCAACAACCGGTACTAATCGATTATGATTATTGATACTATTATTGAAAAATGTTTTAAAAATCTTTAAAAAATCGATTAGATCAGAATTTTGGTTTTTTAAAAAATCAATCAATAATAAAAATTACAAGAAAAAAACTTACTTGTTCGGGAAGATTCAATACACCAATATTATAACCGGATGCAAATGAATTTGTAAAAAAAACAACAAAAGCACCGATAAAAACTTTAACAGTAATTCCTGAATCATTTGCTGTTATTGTTGGATCAGTTAATGGTTCTTTATATTGTCGATCATCCTTAAATTGTAAATAATTTATAAATAAACGTAAACACATTTTATTATTAAAAAGAAAATATTTAAAAAAATTACGTAAAAAATTAATGAATAATGACAGTAAACGATTACAAATATTCATTTGTAAAAAAAAATGTTGTCTGTTTTCTAATTTTCTACAAAAAAAAAGAGTGAGAGAAAAACTAAACTAAGTTTTATTTTACAAAAAGAAAAAATTCTCCCTTCATTCAAGAGTCATTAGCAATGTTTTTTGTTTTTGTTTTCTTCTGTTCGTTTTTTTTCGATGTTTGATTTTGGAGAAAAGAAAATTTTCCAGTACAGAAGCAAACTGACTACTTGATGATACTTGTTTTTGAATTGAATGAATGAATAAGTTTAATGGGCGAGCGAAAGAGAGAGAGAGAGAGAGAGAGAAAATTCGGGAAAAAAATCAAATTATTGATGCTCAACATCATCACTGTGATGATTAGCTCATTTCATTTCATTTCATTCATGATGATGATATGCTTTATAATCGACCAAATAAATATTTATACATTTTTTGGTTTGTTTGTTTGTTTTTCAATGAGATACACTATAGCTATATGTCAAAGATTTTTTTTTCTTCTGTTTTTTGTGCTTTTCATAAATTGGAAAAGAACAAGTACAGAAGAAAGTTGCAAATTCACCAGGTGTCTATAGCGGAAAATTTTTTTCAAAAAAACAAAAATCACATCCGACCAAATGAATATTTGAACTTGAAATTATATAATTTCGAAAGTAAATGTAGAGAAAGATAAGACTTTTTTGTTTCAACTTACCAACTTGATGATTTGATTGTTGTTGTTGTTGTTGTTGTTGAATGATTTATCATTATTATCATTGATTTTTGTCGATGAATTTATCATAAAATCTAATGAATTTATCAATACATCTTGATTAGTTTGCTGTTGATAATTATTATTATTAGTGTCATGGATGGATAGATATTTTGAATGTGATTGTTGTTGTTGTTGTTGTTGTGAATATTCATCAACAATAATTTTATTTTTTATTGATTGAAGCATTTTTTTATATTATAAAAATTATACTGGAATGTAATTTTGGTAATTTTTCTTTTGTAAAAAAATTTTATTATTAACTTTTCTTGATTGATTTACTAATGGTAATAATGATTAATATTGGTAATGATGCCATCAACAGGTGTGTGTAATATATTTACGAAGAGAATTTGATTTTGTCGGACAACAAAGTTTTTGATTACCAACCGAACCAACTGTTGAACTGGAAAATCTTGATTTACGAAGGATGAATAAATTTGGGTAATATCGTCGGACAATAATGGTAATGATGATCAACGATTTTTGTATTTTTGAAATTGAATTTGCTTGAATATAGTTTTCAAATTTCAAATGATTGAATGGCCATACTATAGTTATTGATCGATGTTTTTATATACCCCATAATGTCTGTTTGGTGTGTGATGTATTTGGAGATTATCAAAAAAAAATGAAAACCACGCGCGTAAATATAAATGTAAAACAAAAACAAAAACAAAAAAAAATTATCCTAAAAACCGGGATGCTGTAATCCAGAAAAAACGTGTATTATTTTTTGGTTTGTATAAAATGTGATATCTGTGTGCCTATCACCCAGAAAAAAAAGAAAGAAAAACATTAGAAGCAGTAGTTGACGTAAATGATGATGTTGGTAATGTTTGAAACATATTAATGATAATGATTATCAATTGATTGCAATCATCATTATCACCAAGAAAAAAAGACGAAACCAAAGAAAGAAAGAAAGAAAGAAAGAAAGAAAAAAAGTCAGATTAAATGATGAATATATGATTTTCTTCTTTTCTTTTCTTTTCTTGATATTCATTAATCTCATTATCAGGCACATCAATGGATAATATTGCAAGAAATTGAAAAGAAAATAATTACAGAACATCATCCTTTTTATATCCAAAAAAAAAAAAAAAAAAAATACATTTTTTGTGTCCCGAAATTGAAACAAAGGGACCCGGATCTTTTGTTTGTTGCTGGTA